TCACCAACTTTCTCAAATCGTGGGGTGTAGTCGTGATATGCTCGAACCGCCTTAAGTCGTGACTTTAGATAACAACAGGCTTTAGTCATTGCTAGGACTCTGGGCGACTCAGCAGTTTTGGGCGACGATTGGTCTTCCGCCTTGGGCGATCATAGGATACTTCATTCGCTCAACATCTGGACGTTCTGCAGGCTTGGGCGACGACGCTCCTTTGTTTGTGGGCTTTCATCATATTTAATAACATTCTTGATTGGGCTTTTACCCTGATCTCTTTAATTGGGTTTCTTCTCTTGGGTCATTTGAATTGGGCTGTACATTTTTGTGTGTCAACAACTACAAACGTTCTACCTTCGGTTCCATTCTGCAATTTTTTATACTATTCTTTTGTTTAAATAGTTTTTTCCTTCTTCAAGGCACGTGGCAGATGTCCATGCCACCACATGTTGTCGACCATTTTTAATTAATAAAAACAAAACGCGAAAATTCACCATATGTTGAAAAGTTCAGTGAAATTAACCCTTTGCATAATGATAAAAACGCTCACCATATGTTGAAAAGTTCAAAAATATGTCATCATAAATAGCTAAATAGACAATAGTATTCTTAATTCAAATAACAAATTGCATCTTATATATGATGTTTTGCATACTATATTTTTAATTATCAATTTTTATTAAATATTTATAAGATTTTATTAGTTTCTTCTTTTCCTAAACTTCAACATCAAATCAATAAAATTAATTTTAATAATTTGAAAATTTTATAGAAAATTCTTCACTTGACTCATTCAATATTGTAAAAATAAACAAAAATTATTAATTGCAATATTCTAATAAACAATTGTTTGTGAAGTCATTTTCCTTTTACAGTCCTGACATGAGATTTTGATGATATTTAAAAATTCTTTTAGATTTTCATTTCATTAATAGAGGGATTTTAAAAGATTTGGAAGAATTCGAAGCTTAAAAATACATATAATAAATTTTTTAAAAAATCACTATTTTTATGAGTTTTTTATGAATTTTGTGTGAATTTATTCAAATCCACTAAATTCATTAGAATTTATAATCTTTTAAAATTCATGAAAATCTCAATTGGGTACACATTCTAATAAATTTTATTTCTTTTCAACTTGTGATGGAACAAGGTAAATACTCCTTGTACAATAGGGAAACTTTCCCTTTTCCTTTCCAAATAAGAACTCTACTTTCCTTTTCCTAGTAAAATCCGCTTCTTTCATAAACTGAATCAAATTTAACTGTTAACAATGCTTATACGCAATTGTTCATCTAAAATGCATAAATAAT